CTGCAGCTCCAGAAGGACAAATCAATGAGCCAGAAAGCAGGTTCTCTGCTCGTCCAGCATCGACGCTGCAGCAGGGTGTAAGTCAAAAGTGTCAGTCTGGATTCCCTGATTTTGATTTTCATCTTTAGTCTACATGTGTGTGTCGGTGGGAATGCGGCAGGAGAAGCAGAAGAGACGATGTTTTGTCTAATGACTGCGTCTGATGTGGATCGTCTGAAAACTGTGAGGGGTTCGCGCTCTGCAGCTAACACACACATGCAGACGCTCAGCATCACCCACTTGGTGCTGCATTCACACACCATTCCACCTCGTTGCATCAGGTTAAAGAGCGTGTTCAGATGGCGCTGATGAAGCGTGAGGGTGGGGGTTGAGGGAGAAAACAGAAGGACTCATGGGATGCAGAGAAGTCAGAGCAGAAATAAGGCTTTTTAGCATGAGTCAGGCACGTTGCATAACGGGAGCTAGGAGAGGATGGAGGCCGGTCGTGTCTCAGTGACTAAAAACCACTCCTCCAGTAAAGTGTCACGCTGTGCTTAGAGATTAAAGATGTGTTTCCACCAGAAAAAAATGGGGAAAGGAAAGAATAAAAATGACCATTTTTGCACATTTGTGTGTTAATTAAACTCTCAGAATATTTTAAGCAATGCCAAACCAAACTAATTCAAGATGGCCACCACAGCTAATCAACATTAGCAAATGAAAAATACTATAACTCAGTTAGCTTTAGAAACTTTGAGCATGTCTAGCTCAAACACACTTCTCACTAAAAGACCTTGCTTCAGCTTTTTCCAACAACAATCAAAAGACAACCTTGTTGGTCTAGGCAGTTTTGGCTTGCTTTTAGCGCCCCCTAGTGTTCTGTTAGTGAAAGCAAAAGCGAAACACGTCTCCTCGCTGTGCGTTCGTCTTTTCAACACCTTAATCTGACAGCTGAAATGTCTCCTCGGCCTTCATTAGTTTCTACAGGCGCAGCTCATCACTAAATAAATATTTTTACATTTCAGGCATTTAAGAGTCGCAAAATAATGATTAAATTCATTATCTTTTACATTTTCATTCATTTTTTTTACCTTGGACCACATCAAAGTCCAAAGGAAATGGTCACATCTGGTCCTCTGGACTTTTATAAGCTGAAATTGACGCTAAGATAAATTTTGTTCATAAATAATTAATGCTGAATTTCCCAGCAGGGCTCTGCCTCTTGCTCTTGCTCTCACTGTCCTCACTGTGCTGCTAATGACAGATGATCATGTAGGTTTGAACTCTAATTAGACGTTAACCCTCAGGGTAGGAAAATCCTCACACTCAACACCAACAGAGTTAAAGTCAAGCTGACGGCACTGTGAGGAAGAGAGATTGGTCCTTAAACAGAAAAAGATTCAGAAACACACAATAAAACAGCTGATCTGAGGCAGACGCCAGTGGGAGTTGCTGTATGGAGGCTCTACACGCTGTTAAAATCCCACGTAGATGTGGTTGGAAAGAACATAAACAGAATCAATTACTGAGAGATGAGCTGTGACGGTAATGGCTGAGATGGGAAGCAGACTAGATGCAAAGAGGGGCTTTAAACTGCTAAAAGAGGCACTAAAGTTAAAATAAATGCACTCCTCAGCAGCCTTAAAGAAGTTTCTACCCAGCCGTGTCCACCTTCTCTGACTCAAGCTGAAAAAGTTCCTTTTAACTCTAACAGGAAACAGGAAATAACATCTGGACATCTTACCCAGCATGCCTTTGTTTGGCTCAGATAGACACATGTCCTTCTCTGCACTGGGCAGCACAAAGCCGACCACAAAGATCTCCACGCCGTCTGCCATCAGCGCCAGTCCCAGGACAAAGTAGAGCGTCCACTGGAACTTGCCATGACCACACTCCTGCAGGATGGTTTCGTACTGCTGGGCCAGCTCCTCCTGGTCTTTCCTCCTCTCGCCCTCGAAGGCCGACAGGTCCCTGAACTGCTGTGCCTCGATGGCCGCCACCCCGTCCATGCCACCTGCTTTTCCAGAGTCGGCCCGTGGGATGCCCTGATACTCGCCCTCATAAATCTCATCATCCTCATCGTGTCCTTCAGTGGAGTCACTGTGGCCTTCATCGTCATTGGCTCGACTATCATTGCGGTAATATCCACCATCGTTGCTGGGCATGCCCGCATAGTCGTCGTCGTCATCTTCTTCCTCAAAGCGCTTATAGGAGCGCCTGGTGTACTCATCGGTCATTTTGTCCATGCCACGTCCCACCTTCTTGCCAACCTGCTTCTTGGCGACTTTTGCAATGTCCTTGGCGCCACGGATGAAGTCTGAGCGGCTGTCTCGGTAGCGTCCATCATCGTCCATCTTGGATGTGAAGAGGTGGTGCTGAGATGCTGCAGAGAAGAGGAGGGATCAGCACATGAGTGTGCTAGAGGTTTCTGAGGTCTGATGAAGTCTGGGTCTTGGATGGCTCCCTGCACCGTGGCTGAAGCACTGGGACACCAAATCCTGGAGAAAAGCAATGAAAGAAGGATGTGTTAGCAGGAAATACGATGCAGATTTGTTATCTCCTCAGCCGCATCCTACTTGATCTAAAAATCCCAGTTAAGGCTGTGCGATGTGATCAATGATATTATGTATCCTGTCTTTACTGTTTGGGTTAAAAAAAAAATCAGGAATTCCAGTTCAGAAGAGTAACTGCTCCTTCAGTGAAGGCAAAGCAGTACCGGACAAGCAAAGACAAGCAGTAGGTCATTTCTAAACCAGTTAAAAGGTGAATTGAATCTAACTAATCTGGGCTTTCCCCAATAATCTACATGTTTTTCACTCTTTCCTGCGACAAGCGGGGGTAGAGACAGGAGGGGCATGTTAAGGTGAGTTGAGGAGAAGAGGTCTGCTGCAGGCTACCAGTGCGTTTAACGCTAACCACAAACTCTGATGTGGGGAAAAAAAGACACTCTTAAATAAATTCTGTCACAAAAAATATCCGTCCATCCATTAATCGTCTGCTTATCTGGGGGCGGGTCACGGGGGCAGCAGCCTAAGCAAGAAAGCCCAGACTTCCCTCTCCCCAGCCACTTGAACCAGCTCCTCTGGGGGGATCCCAAGGCATTCCCTGGACAGCCGAGAGACATGGTCCCTCCGGCGTGTCCTGGGTCTTCCTTTAGGTGTATCCCTGGTTGGGTGTGCCCGGAAAACCTCACCAGAGAACCGTCCAGGAGGCATCCTGACCAGATGCCCAAGCCACCTCAAATGGCTCCTTTCAGTTTTGAGGAACAGTGGATCTACTCCGAGCCCCTCCCGGATAACTGTGCCAAACAGAGGAAATCCGCTTGCCTCAGTCTTTAGCTCTTCGACAGGAAACGGACAATTTTACACAAGTTGGGTTTTTAACTGCGTTAGAAATTGTTTTTATCCAGATATGAAATTCTGAACTAATCATTTCACTCGCTCTCAAATGAACACTTCTGCTTTTAAATTCATGCAAGCATCTCTTTCTGGAGTCTTAACTCCTTCCCTCCATGTTCCTAAAATCTTGGCCGATATAATCCTTCCAAAAGCTCGTTGTGGGAAGCCAGATATGATGCTCACCCATGAACTCGTAAAACTCTTCTGCATGCACTAATTTTAACATACTCAGTTGTTATGCGCCACCGTTGATAGTGGAAGAAAATCTGTGTGTTTGTTGCGCAAAACTTTTGCCAGGGGAAGACTTAATTATTAAAGATCAATAAAGAAACTAAATTGCATCCAGAATTTAAGAATTGAGATGTTTTCTTTTTAATTCATCTAACATGGATGATATAAATTCTCACAAAAAAAGCTGTTTCAGGTCCCATCCTTACATCCATCTGCCTTCTATAAGGGAATACCCAACTGCTCCCAGACCAGTCAGGAGAAACAAATCATTCCTGAATCGATCCAGCAGGCATTGCCGGGATCCAGGTGGTCATTTTTATCACATGTCTGAACCACAGGGAGGCAGCTGGAGCTGTCCTCAGTCTGCCTCTCTCACTCACGAACAGAAAGTGAACATTTTTAACGATGTGTGCAGAATTAAAGACTTAAGGTCAAGCTTCAGATTACTGAGCAGCTCTATGCTGATTGGTTAGAGTTTGGTGAGGAGTGCACAAAAATGGTTCATTTGATCGACTTTCGGATGTGATGCAGAATATGACCTGCAGCGTTCCTCTCTTACTCTGCTCTGTGACGCAGTTGTTTACACCTCCTTGAGTCTGATCATCCTTCGTCACCATGGTCACAACATTTGTAGCCAGGGACTCTGGAGGCTCTTCTCACTGTGAAGCATCCCATCACCTTCTGCTTAGCCTTTCACAAGCCGGAGATCCAGAGAGGAGAGCAGCTCTCTCATCTCTGAATAACAAATAGATTCAGAGTGTGCACGAGTAGAGTTACGGCACAACTCTGGTTACTGTCTCACTGCTCCGTTCCCATCCAGCAAATATACATTTTATGCATCCATCTACTCTGAAATAGAATCCTGAGAAGAAACGAAACGACTTCACAAACGCTGATGAAGTGTGAATCGATCATTTATTACAGTTGAGGAAGCAAGCACTCTGGGAAAAGTTGGTGGTATCAGACAATCTCACAGATACACGCATCAACAAAATACTAAGTGAGGACCTGAATGAGGACAGCACGGAAGAACATGAAGAAAATATGTTATTTGGGGAAACTGCAGTGAACAAAGTTCCCAAAAACAAAAGTTATCTGAAGCAAATACTGGAGTATCTCTGAGGTATCTGTTAGTGCAGGTGTTCACACACCTGTTTGTTTCTTTCTGCCTTCTTCTGCTTTGTTCAGGTGCTGATGGCCTGATGTGTTCCAGCCTAGTTAAAACATGAGGGCTTCTTCTAACCAGTCATCTTGCTAGAGTCATCTATAAGGAACAGCTGTGTAGGAATTGTAAGCTTGTTTGGTGAAAATGATTTGTGGTGGAGTGGTGATAAAAAAAATCACACCGAGTTTCAGTTCTACAGTGTGTGGTGTAGTATGACACAAACTTCACTCAAACCAACTTCACTGATGAACATTCCCAGATTAGACAGGAAATCTTGCTAAACCTCTTGAGATCTGATTGGCTACACATCATGGTTAACAGGCAGCACACCTGTTTGTACTTGGGTCACACCACACACACTGCAATATCAGGCCAAGACAATCAATCGTGTTGAATATCCTGATGTCCTTTCGAGTAGACCGGAGTGCTCTTAACACACCACACACTGCAGGAATATCTGACAAGATTATCTTTGGGTAATCAAACATGTCTTTAAGATTGTCAAAAGAGAGTGAAAAATCGGCATGAATATCTTGCTGTTTGAACCAGGTCAAAGCTACTCATCTCTTAAACAATCATGTGGAAAGACATGTCTGGTGGTCGTGGAAAATATGTTAGTCTGTTAGAGAAGGGTCAGGTCATCGGCTTCAAGCAGAGGAAACATCTTAGTAGATTGCAGAAATGACTAAAACTGGGTAAAGAACTGTTCCAACACATTATTAAAAACTGAAAGGATTGTGGGGACCTTCTGTCTTCGAGGAAGAAATGTGGCTGAAAGATTTCCTGTTTGATCATGCTTGGTCAAATCAAGTCAAAGAAAAGCAACAGTAGAATTCAGGACTATGTTTAATAGTGAAAGTAAGACCATTTCAGGGGCCTTGCCTCTTGCTCTTGAAGTGGGGGGATATGAAGGGTTATTAAAGGAGCAACGTCTGTGTTTTATGCGATCTAGATGTTGTTGAGGATGAATTTCATTTTTTGTTTTACTGAATGTTATACATTGATTTGAGAAGTTCCATGTTTGAAAAGATCCAGCATAAAATTCCAAATTTGTTCTGATTATCAGAAGGTGATTTGTTAAGTTTGCTTTTTAACAGGGGAATTTTTGTCCTGGCCAAATTTATAGAAAAGGCGTGGGTATATCGACAATCTGCACTTCATCCTGTAGCCTTAATTGTTATTTTGTAAATGTATGGCCATCTATTGTTTTATTGTTTGTTAATAGTGTTTAATAAGCCCATGGGGCTGGGCACATGTTGTGCATGACACTTAAATAAAACTTCATTCTTTCATTCATTCATTCATTCACTCATTCCATTTGCACAGTGTTAAGGAAACTCAGGGGATTGGGACTGAACAGCTGTGAGACCTTAAGAAAACCACTAATCAGTGAGGAAAACTGGAAAAATAGGCTTCAGTTTGCTAGAGAGCATAAAGATTGGACACTGGATTAATGGATGAAGGTCATGTGGTCTGGTGAGTCCAGATGGACCCTGTTCCAGAGTGATGGTGCATCAGGGTAAGAAGAGAGGCAGATGAAGTGATGCGCCCATCATGCCTACTGTACAAGCCTGTGGGGGTAGTGTCATGATCTGGGGTTGATGCAGTTGGTCAGGTCTAGGTTCAGCAACAGGATGTGCTCCAAGAATGAGGTCAGCTGGCTACCTGAATATGTTGAATGACCAGGTTATTCCATCTTCCCTGATGGCACGGGCATGTCCCAAGATGACAATGCCAGGATTCATCAGGCTCAAATAGTGAACGGGTGGCTCAGGGAGCATGAGACATCATTTTTACACATGGATTGGTCACCAGAGTCCAGACCTTAACTCCACTGAGAATCGTCGGGATGTGCTGGAGAAGGCTTTGTGCAGCGGTCGGACTCTCCCATCATCAGATCTTGGTGAGAAACTAATGCAACACTGGATGGAAATAAATCTGCTGACATTGCAGAAGCTTGTCAAAGCAACGCCACAGCAAACGTGTGTCGTAACCAAGGTTAAAGGTGGTCAAACAAAGTATTAGTGTGTGACTATTTCTTTGGTGGCGACTATGTTTTTGGTCAGACCGTGCAGTTCTGCAAGACATATTGGACAAAATTGCAGCATCTTACTGGATCTTTTAGCATTTATATGTGTTATCAGCCATACCAAATACTGCAATTTAAGGTAAATGTTATTCCATTTAAAAATGGATTAAATTAAAGACATTTTTCTGTGTTCCCATTTGAAATTGCAGTGACAGCATTTATGAACTGAACTGACTCTAAAAATGTTGTAAATGTAGGGCCAATGAAACATTTCTAAGAGTTTAAGGGTTTGATTTTTTGATGATGCTGCAGAAAAACATACAGGTGAGTGCAGCTGATCTAGAATCCGTTTTTCTGCGTGCTGAGAGGGTTTCATGTCATCTGCAGACAATCTACCCTTTTAATTACGCCTCAGTGGAGCCCTGGAGAATCCCATCTGCCACTGAAATAATCAAAAACAAAAAGTGAAACATGAGCTCATTCAACACCAGTGAATAACCCCATTCATAACTTCCGTTTGTGTCCTTGAGGCTTTAACAGCTGCCGTTTAGAGCACACACAAACTGAAAGCATCGTCTGCATCGAGCTTTTATCCTCTTCTCTCAATCGGGCATCACAGATACTAACAAGACGTTTAACTTAAGGGAGAAGGGACGAGTCGTTATGGGCTCAGAG